CTCTTTCTAAAAACCCTTAACATATGTGAAGACTGTTATCAGGTCTGTTATCAGTTGTCTTTTCTCCAAACGAAATGTGCCCAGATCTTTTATCCTTTTTCATCGCAGATCAGGTTTTCCAAACCTTTTATCATTTGTGTTGCTCTCCCCTGGTCTGTCTCCAGCTTGTCCACATGGTTCCTGAAGTGTGCTGCCCAGAGCTGGCTGCAGCTACTGAACCTGGCACAGCGTGACACTGAATTAAATGAACAATGGGCAAAGCTGCGCATTGTGAAATGGCCCCAAAACGGAGGGTGGCGAATGAAGCTTCAGCTTGTTACTCTTTGCAGCTCTGTCCAACCAGGCAAGCAGCGGGCTGCCAGGACGTGTACAGTTTTGTCTTTTTTTAAAGTGTGGGTTTTGGACTGATACAGAGACCTCGAGACAACTAGAGGAAATACAGCACCATGGCCTTGACTTTGACTTTACTGAGAGAACGTTCATTTGAAGGGTGTAAGATTGACATCAACTACAGGTTGAACCTCTCTAGTCCGGCATCCTTGGGATCTGGTCGGTGCTGAACCAGAGAATTGGCCAGTATTGTCTAGAAGCATTACCAACACTTCCACTGCTTGCTGGGCTCTTAGAAGACATCGAGGAGTTAATTAGAGCTAGTTAACAGCACAGAACACTGAGAGCCAGGACTGGGGGCTGTAAACAAACTTTATGGGACCACGGGAAACTTGGCTCACCCATAATAAGTGGACACACAGCTAACTAAAATCATGCTGGACCATGTGTCCTGCCCGACCAGAGTGTGCTGGACTAGAGAGGTTCAACCTGTACCTAAATCAAGTTAAAAATGTATCTGCACCTTCTCTGCATGGGGTTTTTACACTGCCATGATGCCATTATCTCTGTGTAAAAATGCTCTTCTTTTTGCAGTGAAGACCTCGCCGCCTTGAATATTTTAAATAGAAAGGCGGGGTAAAAATATGTAAATAAATAAAAAAATAATAAATAGCCTAGACTCAACCCAGAAAAGCACATCTGCGCTACCGCTTAGCACCTATTGATTTGGCTTCTTAAAGTTAAGCATAGGAATAAATCTCTGACTAGATTGATGCCGCACTATGGTTAAGCAATGCAAATGGAGACACTGTTCGCTTTCATCTCCAGGTTTGGACTGCAGAGAGGGTAATAAAGCCTCCCACATATTGGCTGTGTCTACACTGGCATGATTTTGCGCAAATACTTTTAACGGAAAAACTTTTCCGTTAAAAGTATTTGCGCAAAATCATGCCAGTGTAGACACAGCCAATATGTGGGAGGCTTTATTACCCTCTCTGCAGTCCAAACCTGGAGATGAAAGCGAACAGTGTCTCCATTTGCATTGCTTAACCATAGTGCGGCATCAATCTAGTCAGAGATTTATTCCTATGCTTAACTTTAAGAAGCCAAATTTTCTTGTGGCCAGTGTAGACAGGTGGCAAGGTTTTGCACAAAAGCGCTTACTTTTGTGCAAAATCTTGCCAATGTAGACACAGCCATTGTCTTTTACAGGGAGAACTGCGGTGGTATGACATAACCACAGCCGGTAACCAGCCATGGGGGAACAATAGCATTAGGTAGAAATAAAAGCCAGAGGTCTATGCTGTCTGAGCTGCTCGCGGACCCTGGAGTCTGTGAGCTCATTTGCTCCCCGAAGAAAGATGAAATTCACAGAAATAACATGTGGGAGATGGGTCAAAGATCCAGGTGTCCCCTCCCTGATTGTTGACAGGTTTTATATGCCCTGTCCTGCACCCTGTTGCATGTAAGCTTAAGATGGTGCCCTTCCATGATCAACAGGTCCATCTCTGGTATTGATTTGCCTCCTCTGAAGACTTGAGCCCTGCCATAGGCTTGGCACAAGATTTAGGAATCGCATGGAATGTGCGAAAAATAGGCAAAAGTCCAGCCTTAAAAATAAACAAACAGGATGAGATGAAGTTTTTCTTTTCCCAGAACTCTAATCTTCACCCTCCTGATGCCTGTTGGCGCAGTAAACAGCCTCCAATAAAGGGAGTCGAATCCTAATCCATACTCCCAGGATGGAGGTACATACACCACACAAGTGTGTGTTAGTTTGGGTTTTTCCCCCTCCCCAATAGAGGCTTTGTGTGATCTCCAAGGGAGCAGGGAATGGCTCTGCCCTGGGAGAAAATCATTACTCCCCTGACGAGACGTGTGTCACTTGTGGAAACTGCAAACCGAAATGAAAGCAACGCTGCAGTCGGGAGAACCAAACAATCCAAAGCTACAGAGTTAGAAGATCTAGTTCCGATTTCCATTACTTTACACCTTGTACGGCCATTGACACTTTCAGGGAAAAGGACTAGCTCCTCAGCCAGTATAAATCGGAGAAGCTCTTATGATTATGTTAGCTCTGAATCCCGACTTAGGAATACAAAATTGCTACCCTCACACAAAGGCAGCTCATTTTTGCACAACTGCAAACAACTGTGCAAGATGGAATCCTTGGGCTCTCCGATCCCCTGTGTGGAGGGAGCAGGAAACTGCAGGTCTCTCCAATTTGATTTGTCTGGTTATCTCTGCAGAAACCGCTTTCGGGGGAGCTTTGTGGAACAAGGCATGGTTAAGAGCAGTTCCTGTCATTTTTACAATTAGCAAAGCCAATTGGTCTAAGGGATGGTGTCAAGATAAATATCATATTGACCTAAGAGGATTAGTCTGAACTCAGTAATCAGAAGACACAATTTAAAAATCAGTTTACTTGTCACCCTGGATGTTGTTTGTTTACACCTTACACGTCACTCAGCTCAGATGCTGGAACCAGCGCCTGCAATTTCATATTTCCCTCTGGCCCCTTTCACTCTCCCCACTAGTGTGATGCTGCTGTGGCCAGCCGTAGGCTGCTGCAAGAGACGGGTTACGCTTTTTTTTTAAAAAAAATAAAGACTTGAACTGAAATAAAAATCAATTGATACAAACATTCAGTTCAAAGTAGATTCTCCAAAATCCATTTTTAAATACAATCTCCGGCCGTGTAGCATCAACTCTTTGAGCTTGATAATAGGAACCCGGGCCTCCGATGTCTTTTGTTTGAGGCAGCACAATAGCCTCTTAGAGACGACAAGTCGTAAACAGTGAATGTGTGATAAACTGGGCCGACTTGTCTCCTCCTCCTCTTCCTGGAGCACCAGGGCTATCTGAGAGATCCAGGCAGCTGTAACTAGGAGGACCTGGCTGACCTCTTATAAGAGAGACTGAAGAATGAGAAACAGCAGACGTGAAAACGCTGCATTGCAACCATGTGCACGTCCATAACGGTGCGCCTGCCAGGAGAGGGCTGCATCCCGTACATAGTTGTCTATCTATTCTGCATTTAGGGAAAACGAGGTACACCCCAGCTCACAGGACAAGACACTGGCAGAATGGGAAATAGAGCCCAAGATTTCTAATTCTTAGTGTCCTAGGGTACGTCTACATAGCAACGTTATTCTGAAAAAACATAGCGTACGTCTCCGCAACAAGCCTTTATTCTGAAATAATGTCTAGCTGGCGGACTTCTTACTGCTACTCCTGTAAGCCTCATTTCATGAGAGGTAAGGGAAGAGTGCTCTTCCTGTGGTGTAGACAGTGCCAAAAACCAAATTAAGCTATTTTGACTTCAGCTACGCAGTTGACACAGATGCAGTTGAGTACAGCCAGTCCCCAAGTTACAAATGCATCGACTTACGACTGTTTGTATTTACGACCAGCCTTCTATATAGCCGGAACCCTAGTTACGAACGAAATCCACACTTACAGAACAGTGCGGCCGTACGTAAGTGAATGTAATCCGACTTATGAACAGATCGCGTTATGATCTAGTGTTTGGTACGTAACTCGTACGTAAATTGGGACCGGCAATATATTGATTCAGCTTTTGCCCTGTAGCATAGACATGCCCGTAGTGTATGTCGCTTGCCCAGCAAGCTGTCTAGTCAACACAGCAGTCCAGAAATGCTCTCACTGATTTTTTTTTAAATGAAGAATTTTGAAACTTCCTTTTGCTGTCCAGTTTCCAGCTCGTGAAATATTTATAAAATTAGGCCTCAGTTCACTGAATTGTTTCTCCTGGTATCTAGCCTGGTGTTCATCCCTTGAATTGATTTTTCCCGTAAGGACCATTAGCTGAAGTAGCGATGCTTAATTCGACTTTTGCCCTGCAGTGTAGATGTGCACCTAGTGGCTAGGGCAGAAGAGAAAATCTCTCCCGCTTGGGCGAGCTGGATCAATGAGTAGAGTGGAGAGGGGGACATTGAACCAGACTCTATACCCTGTATCGAATGGAAACCACTTCATGCCAGGGAATACTGCAGTACTCCCAGGAGGCTAAGGGCCACCTATGCCCCATTGATGAATTATTAATTTCATTTAGGCTTCGGCTACACTGCCGGTTTTTCCGGCAGTGAGTACGCAAATGAGGCGCAGATTAGCATGCCATCGTGCCTCATTTGCATACTTCATGCACATCGTTTTTGCGGAGGAAAAAAAAAGTAGTGTGGACTTTTTTTTTTTTTTGGCGCAAAGCCCCATTTTCTGCAAGATCCTTATGCCTCTCCGGGAGCCTCCTTTGCCTACTCACTGCCGGCAAAACTGGCATTGGAGACGAAGCCTAAGTGTAGGACACCTATAGACTTAACCAACTCTGAGGTCTCAGTGGTAAACACTGTTGGAGCACAGTGAGGATGGCATCTCTATTGAAACTGGGAGCGTGCTTATCTTCTCAGGGATACACACAAGCACTAGCTCAAGTGTCCAGCCCTAGCACAGCTAACGTCTCGGACTAGAATCCTAAGACACTAGAACTGGAAGGAACCTCGAGAGGTCATCGAGTCCTGTCCCCTGCCCTCACGGCAGGACCAAGCACCATCATTCTAGCTCATCCCTGATAGATCTCTGTCCAACCTGCTCTTAAACATATGGGGGCAGAGAGTCACAGTTATTTTTTTCACCCACCTCTCTAGGATTTCCCAGAATCCTTTGGACTGGAAAGAACTTATAACGGGTCATACCACCAGTGCCGTCTGCCTCATTGGGTGAGTCCACCTACAAACATTCTCATTCCTGGTACAGAAACAAAATTATGCATTAGTGCTAATTACTCTGTAATAAGTGCACTGGGAGAAGCAACAGATTTGACATAGATGATGCCAAACTCCATTGAATCTGATATGATTAATGATCCATCATTTCAGTTTAATTATGAACCAAGAGAAAACCGGTCAAAACAGCTTGCATCAGAGATGCCTTTTACCTTCAGAAGACTTTTCTGCAGATGCCATTGGGGTTTTTAAGTCACTGGTGGTTTTTGTTTGTTTGTTTTATAAATCTTTCCGAATCAAACAGTGGAAAAAAATCTCCAAGCAAAAATAAACAAATGAATAAAGTAATTCTCCAATGCAGTGCAAAAATCCGCCAAGGAGGAATGTTATCTTCTGGGAGGATAAATGAGGGGGGGAAAGCTTGAAATTCTTTTGTTTTCTTGGACTACAGACAGACCTCAAAACATTTGGCATAACCTGTTGGCAGGGAGGAGGCATGAGGGGAAGCCGATCTCAGTCGTTCCTAAAGTTTTCATTTCATTCATAGTTTGAATTGGCAACTCTGAAGCTAGACTAGAGTTCTGCATCCTCGTGTCCAACTATCAATCTCACGTTCACTGTTAATGTCAAATGATGGACACTGTGGGCTTAATCTTTTAGGGTACGTCTACACTAGCCCCCTAGTCCGAACTAGGGAGGCTAATGAGGGCGACCGAAATTGCAAATGAAGTGCGGGGTTTAAATATCCCACACTTCATTAGCATGTTCCTGGCCAGTCGCCATTTTGGAAATTGACTAGCCCGGAAGAACTGCTCACATCTACCCGCGGCAGAAAAAGGCAAATCCGAAATAAAACCCCTTACTTCCAATTACCAGTTAAACTTCATGGGATGGGTTTATTTTTATTGAAGTAAGGGGTTTATTTCAGATTCACCCTTCTCTGCCATGTGTAGATGCAGACAGTTCTTCCGGGCTAGTCAATTTCCAAAATGGCGACCGGCCAGGAACATGCTAATGAAGCACGGGATATTTAAATCCCATGCTTCATTTGCAATTTTGGTCACCCTCATTAGCCTCCCTAGTTCGAACTAGAGGGCTAGTGTAGATGTACCCTTATTGATACAGAGCGTCCTGCAAACCAGACTAATCATATTTGGTTTGATCATTTTCACGTGTGGTCAAGAATGCAAATCATGTAATCAACATGGTGCAAATCTGTTCAAGGGAAATTCTTTTGCCATAAAAGGAAAAACTGGTTTTAGATAACTCCCAGATTGCCCTGTGCATATTCAAGTGTCACTGCAGAGAACAATGTTTTAAGAAACTCAAGCTGCATAGCCTTAATGCTGGGAGTTTCAAAGATGCTGGAGGATTTGGATTCCTGATTCCTTTTAGAAAAGAGATGTTTTGAAAATTCTGTATTGAACGTCTACAGGATTTCCCTTGCATATGTTGGATAGCAAAGACTGCATGGAATGTCTCCATTTAAAATTAAAGCATTCTGCTAACTGGTACATGAATGAACAAACAGTTATAGGTTGAACCTCTCTAGTCTGGCACCCTCAGAACCTGACTGATGCCGAATCGGAGAATTTGCTGGACCATGGGAGGTCAGTATTGTCTAGCAGCATCACCAACACTGCCACTGTTTGCTGGGCTCTTAGAAGAGATGCTGGAAATCAGGTTCTCAGCACACATTTTATGGCCCAAAAAAAAGGGTCTTTGGATCAAAACATTTGTGAACATATTTCATTTTAATTGCAACATTCCAGGAACCAAAAACGATCATTTCCTAAAACTGGTTTTTGAAGACTGAAAATTTGTGAAATGTTTTTGTGGAAAATTGTGTTTAGAACTATATTATTCTGTAAAACTTCTGAAGCAAAAAATAACGACCATTGTTCAATGAGACTGACACTTTTTTGTTCACTTTCGAAAATGGGCGTCAGGAGAAGCGTCTATTCCTGGCTTTGTAGTGTCCCAGTGTGAACTTGGACAGGCACATCTGTCTGGGCTAAGTCCTAGCCCTGTTCAATCCAGTGGGAAAAATGCCACTGACTTCAGAACAGCCTGGATTTCACCATATGTGTATCTGTGTTCCATCTTGTTCTGCTTTGTCTATTTATGCTTCAAGGCCTTCAGGTCAGGGACTGTCTCTCACTGCTGTTTAAATGGCCGCATATGAAAATTCTGTAGGGAATGTTTTATACGTGGTAGCAGGATGCATATGGCCAGTTAGCATGCAGCCTGGTAGTTCAATGCAAATTTGCATCTCAGTTCGCACTAACTTTCCATCTAAACCAGGGGTAGGCAAATACCTGCAGATCTGATCCACCAGGGATAGCCCCTGGCAAGCCCCCACCACTATATTTACCTGCACATCTGCAGGTACTGGTGACCACAGCTCCCATTGGCTACAGATTGCCGTTCTTGGCCAATGGGAGCAGTGGGAAGTGGTGTCCTGGTCCATGCCGCTTCCTGTCGCTCCCATTGGCTATGAACATCAACCTGTGGCCAATGGGAGCTGCGATCGCTGGTACCTGTGGCTATGCAGGTAACTATAGCAGCGGCTAACCAGGGGCTAACCCTGGTGAACTACAGCCATGTTGTTTCCCCCCCTCAACAGTCCCAAAGTGTATACAGCTCCTTGCCAAAGAAGGGCCTGTGTAGATGTACACCAGTTAGGGTATGTCTAAACTACATGGCTCTGTCGACGGAGCCACGTAGATTAGTGTACCTGAAAAAGGGAAATGAAGCGGCGATTTAAATAATCGCCGCTTCATTTACATCAAAATGGCTGCCATGCTGTGCCGATCAGCTGTTTGGCGGCACAGCGCAGTAGTCTGGACTCTCCGCGGTCGACAAGGGAAGCCCTTGTCGACCGCCCTGGTAAACCTCATTTCCCTTTTTCGAGTACACTAATCTATGTACCCTAACTGTGACTACAGGCTGGACCTCCCTAGTCTGGCATCCTTGGGACTTGAGCGGTTCTGAGCCAAGGAGTTTGCCAGAAGAGAGGAGGTTTAGGCTCCCTACCGCCACAGGCAGGGTGTAAGCTTTTGTGGGCCGAACGCACTTCATCAGGTGATGAAAGGGAGTGGAGTTTACAGAGCCGGGGGTGTATAGATAATAATGATGATAGTTTTGACAAACATAGTGGTGGTTTTGAGGACAATATGGCCTTGATCTTGAAAAGGCACAGCTTCTTGTTGCACATACATTGCAGTGCCGTTGGTGGATTTCATTAACTATTCCTATGTCGGTCTAAACATCTAAGCAGGATGGTTTCTAGACAGTGCATGCAAATAACTGAGGACAAACACTGTATGGGTTTTAAGCCTTACCCTTTCGGCATTGGCCTTTTTATCTCTGAATGTTACTTGTGTACAACAAGCCTGTGCTAAATCAGCGATTCAGCATGTTGGTTATGGTAGATTTTTAGGGGGAAGTTGAAATGGCTGTTCCTCATGTAAATATGCAAAACTTTGCTGGTAACAAACTAGAAAAAAAGAGCTAATTAGTGTAATTACCATCATTATAATTTTAATTTAACAGCATAGACTTGCACTGCCATAGCATCAGAGCTGTCACATTTGCAAACTGCATAATTATATGTATTAAGTTCTGTCTCTGTTGCACCCAATATATAAAATAGGCTGTTACCTTAAACCGCCATAAAAAAAAAGTGAAAATGTCATTAAAGGTCTGACTTAATCAGACAAAATCAAGGAAATTGCCAGCAATAGGTGAAACATAAAGCTTTCCTTTAAAAAGAAATGCTCACAAATCACTGCTACAAGGCAGGCTTAAAACCGACAGACGTAGTATTTGTTGTGCATTTATGCAGGTTTGCGCTTGCTTGTGCTGCTGCTTTTTATTGCATTTAATCAGAGCTCTTTGACTGTGTGTCAGAAACCCTATACTGAAAACAGTCATGGAAGAGTTTCCTTTAGGGGGATTGGGGGGGTGCCTGTGTTCTAGGAAGAAGAGGGTAGCCCCTCAGATGTACCTCACTGTGGAACACTCTGACAACCGTGACATTCTACGTGGACGTTGATGTGTTTTATACCAAATACTAGAAGATGTACCTGGGATTGCCTGGGACCTTCAAGGCAGGGGGGGCTGGCAGTGTGGTGCAAAAGGCAGGGCAGGGCCTTGAGGATGGGGGGGGGGGGGAGTAGGGGGTGAAAGCGTGAGGGTTGGAGGGTGAGGAGGGGCTCAGGATGGGAGGTCCCATCCAGCGGGACTTTCTCCCCCCCACCATCTCTGTGGGGCTTTCTCTCCCCTCTCAGCCTCCCCAGATGGCATGGGCCTTCTGTCTCCCTCCACCCCCGCCCCCAGCCACCAGGGGCCTTCTGTCTCCCCCCGCTCTGGTTCTGTGGCCAAGGGCTGGGAGGGGAGGGAGTAGGAAGGGTTTGGGGCGAGGGGGGGGACTACTTACTCAGGTTGGGGGTGTAGAAGATGGTGGAGCCCCTGCCCTGCTGGCTACTTACTCCCTTGCTAGTGCGGCTGCCCCCAGTGTTCACTCTGCATATAGCTCTCCCCTGTGCTCACTGCCCCCCTGCGGCCACTCTCAGTATCACGTCCCTCCTCTCTATGCCCCTCCCTTTTCCTGTTATGGAAAAGAGTCCCATTCCAGGCACTTCCTGTTTTCTTGGCACAGCCAAATCCTGACCTTGTTTTAAGTTTGGAGGAACCTGCATACCAAGGGGAGCTGTGGGAAGCAGAGTTCGAGTCCGTGCTGCTTCCCACACCTCACATTGGCCGGGGATGGCGATCCATGGCCAACGGGAGCTGCATCACCCATAGCAGCAGAGGCACAAATAAATATAATGGTGGCAGAATGCCAGTGGCTAACCCTGGTGAACTGCCACCATTTTATTGTCAACCCCCACCTTAATGTGAAACATGGGTGGTATTCTACAGTGTAGACATACCTTCAGAGGTGGTATTCAAAGAAGAAATTATGAGGCACATTGGCATGGCAGTGGAGG